AAGGGTGTCCTGGATCAGGTGAGGTCCCCACTGGGGTGCCTGGCCAGTCTGGGTGAGGGCTGAGGGCCGTTTTCAGGCTGGTGGGTGACTGAAGCTCCCAACTGCTCCTTTTTTCTTTTTTCTTTTTTTCTATTCTGGGCCAGCTTTAGCTCTGAGGCCTCACTGCTGAAAGCAGGTTTCTGGCCTTTACCTTCTGTATTTGATACAATGTTGCAGTCCGGCTGGCTGAAGCCCGGCTGACTGAAAGCCGGTTTCTAGGGTTATGTTTAGCTTCTATATTTGCAACATAGTTGCTTAGAGTTGCAGGTGAGAGGCCAGCAAGTCAGGCGGGGAACGTTGGAGTCCGCTGTCACTGGAGCAAGCAAGCCTCCCTGTTCGCTTCAGTGCATGGCTGCTGGTCGCCATCTTGGCTGACAGTTAATTTGCATAAGGATATGCTGATTAGCCAATGGGAAGGGTAGCGGTCGTACGATAATTACCATGTTTCTCTTTTATTAGTGTAGATTACGTGCAGGCCCAGAGGAAAATGTCTCTCAAATTCTAGACGAAGTCACACAGGGAGTTTCCTGTATTTATACCATTTTACCCTCTTTGTCTCCCAAATATGGGGTTTTCCGGTCCCCTTTGCAAGTTCTTAAAGAGCCCCTACATGCTGGGGTTTTGAGACCTCAGCCAAAGGCTTGGCCTGGTGCCAGCACTGATGACTTCGTCTGGGGAAGGTTTAATGGCCTCTCTGAAATGGGAGTAGTCTTATTTTCCTTATTATTTAAGCCAGCAAGCATTTACAGAAGCCAAAATGCAGGGTTAAAATTTCACACAGCAGTTTTTATATAACATGGATGCTTCACTCTGGCTCCTCCTTGGGCTCATCTCCAAGCATTCCCCTCACCTGTCAGCACAGCTGCCACAGAGAACGCCTCCCCACATCGGAGTTGTTGGGAAATGGCGGAGGGTGCTGTGTGGGGTGTCTGGGCCTCATGCCCTCCTCAGGGGCCTGGGGCAGCAGCCTTTGGTCCCACATCTGCCGCCTTCAGTTTGCTCTTTTTCTGCTTCTTTTCCAGAGGAGGAAGAGGAAGAACCCTCCCAGCCATCCTCTGCGGGTTCTACTCCTGGGGACCACCACCAGGACCCCCATCAGGACGCCCAGTGTGGCCCAGAACTGATTCCACAGACCAGCCCAAAAACAAAGAAAAGAATTTCTCTACGGCAGGTAACTGGTCCCTGGGTACTGAGGCCTCACTCCACCTCAGCTGTCAGCATTGAGGCCCACGTCCCTGGTGGGAAGGTCTACTATACCCAGATCACCAGAGAAGGGACACAGTGTACGTGGGCAATGAAGCCAGCGATGCTCTGGAGTCAGGGGGACTGCACTGCAGGTCCTGGCTCTGTGACTGACTTGTTGCTTGACCCCAGGCCAGATACATGCCGTCTGTAAACCTTGGTCAGTTTGTTTCTAAGTGCGGGGGTAGGATTTTGTCATTGGCTCGTCACAGAGGTCTGCTGCCCAGCTTCTAATCAGCCTGGTACATGCTCAGGCCTGGCTCTTTGCCGGTTAAAGTCCACTGCCAGTGGACCTATTGGTCCCACCACACCAGGGCCTGGGTAAGTTTCATTTCTCCTCTGTGCTCCTCCCTGAGTGTAACAGTTTTTCACGTTCTTTTGTGCATTTGAAATTAAGGAGGGGCCATAAGGAAGATTGAAGAAAGCCGGACGGGGATTGGGTTACAGGAAAATTAACAGGATTATGTGCTCTCTTATGGATTAAAACCCCTTCCGGGGGTATTCTGGTATTTCAAAGGTGTGTTAACCTAGATGCACCACAACACTGGACAGGACTGGCATAAAACCTTTCACTAAAGAAGTTATAGGCCTGGGGTGCGACTGTCCACCATGACCTGCCTAGTTAGGAATGTATGTTCAGATCACCCTGTGAGGTTACTTCCCATAGAACCCCTTTTATTCGTCCACAGGGGATCATACAGTATTTGTCTTTTTGTGATTCACTTATTTCCCTTAGCATAATGTCCAAGGTTCATCCATGTGTCAGAATGTCCTTCTTTTCTAAGACTGAACAATATTCCATGGTATGTAGATACCACATTTTGTTTATCCATTCATCAACCTTTGGATATTTGGATTGCTTTCACCTCGTGGATATTGTAAATAACGCTGCGATGAACATGGGGTGCAGGTATCTCTTCTAGACCCTGTTTTCAGGTCCTTAGGCAAATACCCAGAAGTGGGACTGCTGGATCATATGGAACTCTATTTTAGTTGTTTGAGGAGCCT